TTGTCATGGGCAAGCCTGATATTATCCCCATTCTTCTTCAAGTCTAGTTTATAGCTCTGCCAATGAACCCTACCAGCTTGTGAGCAAAGGCCCTCTTCCACTTTGAGAAAGGTGAATCCCATCTGATGCCAGCAGGACTGGTACTGTGTAGGCATTATTGAAAAATCCAAAACTGTGGCAGTGACACCAGCCACAGAGCCATGGATAGACTGGGTGCATCTGCTTCTCCCAGCTATGCTGAAGTTCATATAACAAAAGATGTTGCTTGATAGTACTGTGTCATAAAAACTGTATATTAACAGTTTTAGAAACTTGGGAAGTCTAAAAAGTCAGCTGAGAAACTGTGCAACTGTGTCACTACATTTATGCTAATGTTTTACACATGTTGGGTTTTTTCTCATCTTTGTGTCCACTAGCTCTTTATGCAGAGTATACTTTACAGCAAAAAATACTAAATACATGCTACTATTTAAAATTGATCTATCCATTTTTTAATGTTTCAGTTAAAAGTAGACTATAAGAGCTAACACCACAACTTTGGTTTAACTTTTCTTTACCCCTCTAGAGATTCTTCTGAAGAGTGAATTGAAGACAAACTGGACATCACTGTCTGCTGTGATACCTCTGCCAAAAAACTCCTTTTAAAAGTATTTCTTTTAAAACTATTATCAATGGGTTTTCCTAACTACAAAATTAAATCTAAAACCAATCAAACACGATTCTTCTGCATATGGGAAAAATTAGGTGCAAAAATAAGCGTCAGATCAGTCTCGGTGTGAAGAACATGAATGTCACACCAGGTTCAGATGAAATCAATCTGTACCAAGATGATTGTTTCCCCAACCCAATACAGGACACGGCCTAGATTTGGCCCTCAGAATCATCACAGAGTTTCAACATAAATGGAGCAGGATTTTAAAAGGCAATGCACTAACACACAGTGGAATAGCTGAGGATAAAACAGTTCTGAACCTACACTGCACGTTTTAAATTCTGCTAGAGATTTACCTAAAAGATCCTCCCTGGTAATCTTCTGGTAACAGCTTTCCATCTCGTGCTTTCTTTGCTAGAGCCTAAGGAAAATAAAAGAAGAAAAAGAAGAGGAGAGAGGAAAGAAATTAAAGTGTTGTAATAGACTAATTCTTTTAACTTCAGTAAGATATTAGAAGTACCACACAGCCATTATAAAGTCATCTGGTTTTGGATTTACAGAAGCACCTCAGCAACACTGTAGTTGTAGCTGTAATGATTTGGCAAAGGCACTAGAACAGACAACTTCATTTTCCCAATGATATCAACTGTTCAATAAAAGCTGTTCTCTCACCTTACCAACCTTGATCCCATTTTCACAATGGAACCACCGTTCTCCCTGGTGCTTTTAGATGATGAAAGTATCTAGCAAAATGCCAATGAGAGAAATTCACACTACTTTTCTTAACATATTTGTTTAAAGAAACTGCCATGTATCAGTTAAGATATTTCTAGCAAATTGAGAAAACTATTTCTTCCAGCTAAGCACTGAATTACCTTCAAGACCACTCCTCCCTGTGACCATTTAATTTGTGAGACTTTTCTACTTTTAAATAACACAAGAAACCGTCCACAAATGTTTTGTTCAAAATATAGCCCAAGAAATTCTAAGACAAGAACCTTAAGAAAAAGAACCTTATCCCCACCTACGATGCCTCTAGCTCAGAGGTCTCCTTAGATGGAAGGAGTGGGAATTGGGATGAAATGGCTGTTACTGGTGGGTCAAGAGCGAGTTATTCAACCAGCCTGTTCCTAACACTCTGCAAGTACCCAACGGAAAAGGTGGTAACTGAAAAGGTCAGATTGCAACATTTTCAAAATGAGGAGCTCTTCAACTAACAGCAGAAACTGAAGTGGGAATATATGCATAACATATTATCTATCCCATTCATACGAAATACATTTAGTGGTTTTGGTTTGTGTTGTACTGGTTTTGCAGGCAGAAAAGCACAAGGAAAATGTAATGTGAAAATTACAGCATAACTGTTTCCAAAAGCATAGTCAGGAAAAGAGGCTCAGATCTGTTTCTGGGAAGACAGGTAAAAGCCACACAGTCTGTTTATACTTTCCCTCTTCTGGTAAAAATACTAAAACTAATGACAGTTTCCAATCATTTAATTATGTCAAGGAATTTTTGGTAGAAGCAAACAACAAAAAAATAACAAAAAAACCCCCAAAATAAAAATCTACTTTATCACGATGTGAAAAAAAATGATATATCACATTTACAAAACTTTCTTAGAGAAGATAATTCCATAAATCCCCTCTGTTTTCTAGGATATTTCCACTCCCATGTCCATAGAAGGGTAATGAAGCCGGTGAAGAGTTTACAGCACAAGTCTTATGAGGAATGGTGGAGGGAGCTGGGGTTGTTTAGTCTAGATAACTAGGTGGGTGGGGATTGGTCTCATCTCTCTCGTAGCCAGTGATAGGACAAGGGGAAATGGCCCCAAGTTGTGCCAGGGGAGATTTAGGTTGGATATTATGAGGAATTTCTTTACTGTAAGATTTGTCAGGCACTGGAACAGGCTGCCCAGGGAGGTGTTTGAGTCACCATCCCTGGAGGGGTTTAAAAGACGAGGAGATGTCGTGCTTAGGGACATGGTCTAGTGGTGGACTTAGGGCTGGTTCGATGGTTGGACTCAATGATCTTAAAGGTCTTTTCCAACCAAATCCATTCTATGATTCTATAAACAATCTACACAGAAAGCACCTGCTAAACTGCAGGTAGACTGGTAGAGAAGCAGTTGCAGTTTATGCCTCCCACATGTGCATGTCAGGTACATATCTATTTCAGTAATTCAGTAAATAAGTTGAAAAAATTTTGTTGGTGCAGACACCTGCAATATATGTGAACCAATGACTTTCACGCTGAGTAGCGTGACCTATGTTACACACATTCCATCTGAAATGAATGCTTACTTTATCATAGCCCTATTAAACATTCTGCAAGCATATGTTCCTATCATGGGAACTGCAGGACACTGTAGTTTATGGTAAAAAAGGTTTGTAATATTGCATCACTGTATCACAGGTACTGGAGATGACAATGAAAGCACAACCTATACTTCACTACCCACAATGCTCTTCTTGTCATTTTATCACTCAACAGAATAATGTAACAGCCTCAGTTGGCTTTCATCCTTGTCTGGCTACTATATTAGTGAAAGGATCGGCTTTCACAATACATTCAACATGAAGTAAGCAATATGGACTGGAAAAACCAAAAAAGTCTTAAAAACATGCAACTATAAATGTTTTGTGACATGACACTTGTCTTTTTCTGCTACACTTTGTTGGTTGTTCCCTTCCACTATAGTAAGAGACAGGAATTTATAAAGTGCAGCTTGTGTCTAGTTTTGGGACAGTTTTATGCCCTAGCTGCTACTTCTATTGCATTCCTCAGATACTGCAGGCCTTTGATTAGCACTCCTCCACAAAAAGGAGGCTTGTATTGGGACATTAATTGTATTTTTCCCTGCCACAAAGTACTGCTTCTGTGGCTGGATGCAACTGCCACAGATTCAAGTCACTAACTGGCACCTGGTCTATCCAAAATACTGCTCATTAGTCTGAGGAGTTTAATGCTGCCTTTTGGGTGACATTCTCAACTGAACTGCATTCTGAAAGATACACAGACTGAAGTAAGTGCCATAATATAACTGCACAGAGCATAACACAAGCAGCTACAAGCAAATTTCTGGAAAAGGTAGGGAGAACTCTCCCAAACAAACATAAGTTCAAACCCAAAGACTGGAAATACTAAATAAATTAACATTATCTAGCTTTCTCATGAGGACTAAAGACATAAAATTATATTAAAATGCATAAGTCTGTACAGGTTTATTTTAGCCAGCATTCAAGCAAATAACTTGATGGCTAAGTTACTGTTAAATAAAAATGAACAGAGTTGCAAAATTAAGAATAATTTTGAAGTCTAAGGAATGCTGAAATGGCTTTAGATGCATTTTGAAATCGCCCTTATTACTAATGTGTATCTGCATTACGCTACACTTTCTCCTAAAAAAAAAAATTATATAGCTACTGTATTCCTCAGCCTACCATACATTTAAGATCTACCTTTGCAGAGGCAGCAATTTCCTTTATTCCCTTGGCAGCAACATCTTTTATGATTGGTGTAATAAGACCTCGGTCTGTTGCCACAGCAATAGAAATGTCAATGGACTGCAGCTGTCTGCAGACTTCTCCATCCCAGGTTACATTCACATCTGGTATTTGCTAGGAGAGAGAGAAAGAGAGTGAGTGTTAAAAAAAAGACAGCTGTTAAAAGAACAATGGTGCAACCAATTATCAAGAAAAAGGTAAAACCTTTAAGACATATAGCTGTATACAGACATTCATCAAGGTAATTAACGCTGTCGGTAAAGAAGGCAAATGAACAGGTCACATCTGTCATCAGGACTGCCATGAGCAAGATAACAACAACAACAAATATCAGTGTGAGGGTCTAAGAATAAATGTACATTATTAGCTTGCATTTCTATTATTTTATTGAAACTTACTTTGTCAAAAAGTGTGAACGTATGCTCCAGGAACTGAAAATGACAGGGCAGCCAGAAGGTTTTTTGGTGGTGTTGGAAAAAATTTAACAGAAGCCTACAAATTCCTCTAGGAGTCAGTGACACCACCTTATATATGCCCAGCATGGAAAGCTACAAAGCAGTGTCATTTTTCCAACCAAATAAATCACAGGATATTGACTTTAAAAGCATAGAAATTAACGTCTTACTACACCTGTGTGCTATTTTCCACTCATGCCTCAAGCATGACTCTCGAAGGAAGCTACAGATAGAATATGCTGCATTTATACTCAGTGTTATTCAGATGAGGTTCTAAAATGGATCAGGAGTGGTTTTTTGTGTGAACTCAATTAAAATTGAGATAATGTTACTGGTAATTACAGTGAGGTTTTTGAGTTTACCATATAAAGCTGAAACAGTTTGGAGAAAAACAAATGGAAAAAAACCAGGCCCAAACAAAACACCACCAAAACAAACAAACCAAACAAAAAAACCCCAAACCACCACCAAAACCCAACAAGAAGTAGGCAAAGTCTCAGGTAACTGGCAATAGATACTGTGAAGGTACTATTTCCAATAAATTCATGATTAGTATTTAATGACCTTAATGGAATTAGGAAGTTGACTTCACAGTGGAGGAGTTATTCCAGAAAAAAGTATGGTAAGGACACATTCTCTCTATCTAAACTAACTCCACAATCTATTTCTATCTAAACTAACTCCACTCCTAGAAGAAGTGGTGTAACAGTACTCTCAGTTCCTATTCTTCAACACCAGAACGTATATAAAAGACTTATCTTGCCAATTGCTTTAGCCTGCTGACAAAGCATCCACTGTTTTTTTTGCAGATGATAACTGTACTAAAAGGATCTTTACTAAGAAGTTCTCATTTTTACAGTCCGCAGCATAGACAGCAAAGAGTATTCTACCTGGAAAGCTTTAAAAAAACCTGACACTAAGTGATAAAGAACTACAAGCTTTGTTATGATCACATTCATATCTCTATATAGGCTCACAAAATACTTATCTCCTTGACACTTCAGTGTAAAACTTTTTTTAAAGTCAATTATTCACTTACCTTCAGAGTAACTGCAGTTGCCTTGATAATAAAATCATTTACAGATACTTTAATGTCATCTGCAAAAAAAAAAGGTAAACAATCATTGCTCATAAAATCTGTTTATCAGCATTTGTGTGATGACAAGATCCCAGTGATACAGCAGATTTCCTTCTTTGAAACATTGCCAGAAAGTAACTCAAACGACAAAGGACTGCTGCTTTTGGGACAAAAGGAGCATCATTAAGGAGTGACAGCCTGAGCAGACACATTCATGCTAGCTGTTACTAGAAGGTCAAAAAAGCTGCAAACTTGAGTACTACTGCTCATTCTTAGAAGCAGCAGCCCATATGTGCTTCATGCTTTACATATTTATTGTCTATGTAGAAATCTATTGTAGGATCTAAATATAAAGAAACAATACTACTATTCTTTATGTACTGTGATGCATTAACTGGAATAACTGCAGAAATCAGCATTTATTCAGCTGTAAATCAGAAGTATGTTATTCTCCAGTGACCACTGGGGCAGGGTCAGAGAGACTCAGAAGATCTCTCTGGGGGCTTATAAAGTAAGAATTAGCAAGGTCGAGGCATCTGTCAATCCTTAAAATGGGCTAAAGATATATTCTAAAGCAGGCAGCAAAATAATATGTGTGACAAAGCTGTTAAATTAAATGCAAAGCTACACACTAAAAACGGCAGTATTATGCAGAATCAGACAGAGTAACCTTGAAAGGACTAGATTTTTTTGGTGTGAGCTTAAGAAATACTGTGTAACACTGAGCTTTCTTTCCCCAAAAGCTCTGGGGAAAGCGCGTATGGAAACAATGATATTTACACAATATTAAATGCGTAATTCTCAAAATAAAAAAAAATACATTACCCTGCTACTATCATCACTGCTGTCAGCTGGACAGATCAAGAAGCCAAACTACTTCATCTTAGGGTCTGGTTTATGGTATGTAATACACATACCTTTAGAAATGCTTTTGTAATGAGAAAAATATTTATAATTACATTAAGTGAAATCTTAAGTCATCATAAATTTGGAGGAATGAATCAAGTATCCACCTAACACAACTGACCTGCCATGTTTGCCATGATTAACAATCTATGCATAAGAAGAGAGCCAGAATTCTCAGTAAAACAATGGAATTTGTGAGTACTATATTGCACTGACAGAATTTAACATCAGACAAATCTGTATCACAGTCAAATGTATTTTGGTATTTTATATTTTGATTTAAATATTACACTCTTAACTCTTGGCAAAAATGTCACTGTCCACTAGAGGGGAAGGAATACAATGAAAATACAGGAGTACAGTTAAATTAAGAATGTCTGATAATATTTTACCCTCATTGAAGTTTACAGCAGCGGTAATTGCTATATTTTACCCTCAAAATAAAGGAGCTTACAGTAGGAAATGCTGCATAAGACGTCCACGTTCTCTCTCACTATGTAGTAGAAACCACCATCATTTACACCAGAAAGAATAAAAAATAATTATTATTTTAAAAAAAATCACCAGGACTATGTCTGCAATTCGATTTTATGCAAAGACATATGTCTCCTTCCCACCTCTACATTTAAAAAAAATAGTCTTTAAGAATCCACAGTAGCAGGAAAGATGTGAAAAAAATCTCAGTGAGCATTCCTAAGACAATTTTCTACTTAATTTTTTATGACCTGCCACTGCTTAAAGAAAATATCAGCATCATAAATTGTCTGTGACATTAACTTGTGAATAAGATAGCGCTAGGAAAAAGAAAAATATCAAAAAATTACCTGGGTACTCTTGCATTAAAAAAATCAGTCATTCAAAGCTCCAGTTAAAGGAGAAGCAGCTCCCTATACCATCATCTAGAACATCTGAATATACCAGTCTAATTTAACTTAGGGCCTCACAACTGGATACACAAGTGTGGGTTAGTCACCAGTACGTAACAGTAGCCCTTCAGTGTCAGCATTCCACTTCCTATGTGTACAGCTCTGTGACACTAAGCTGAGAGAAAATTCACTCACAGGGTAAAGCCTCAGGAATAGCAAGTGCCTATGAAATACCCTAATACTCCTGGAGGGCTTATGTCTTGTCTTATTCTACCACATCAAAGATTTCTATATTGGGATATCCCCGAGGAAAAAAAAACAACAACAAAATCAAAAACCAAACCAAACAAAAAAAACCACAAAACCAAGCCAAAATCAAATAGAAACAAAAAAGCCCTCAAACAAACAACACCAACAGAAAAAACAGCTTAAATTGCTTGAAATACCTGGTTACAAGGAGATCTTTTGTTGTATCAACAAAAACCACGGGTCAAGGAGAGAGAAAAGAGTATCAACTTCTTTGTCAGACAGGCATATCACATGAACACTTACCTGTGTCTAAAACCTAGCTGGTGCCTCTGAATACAGAGCCTTCCAAGGGTAACTTCATTAACCTTTTCTACACATGTAAAGAAATTCAAGGTGGACCTTGAAGACACTTTTTGACGCTGTACTGTGATAACAACAAAGCTGGTTTTTAACCCTGACCCAAGTGGGGGAACCCTATTAAAGATGTGAGCTGGAAGAGAAGCCACATATAAAAGCTATAGTATCATTGTGGGGTGGGGGGTAGGGCAAGAATGGAAAACCTCCACCTACCTACAGCTATCTCTGGAATTATATACAGTGAATATTGTACTGCTAATGTGCCTGCTTTTTCTCATTTGAGTTATATTGGTCTTGTCATATAAAACGTTTACAGAAAGGACCAAGAAAGCTTCTGAAGACGTAGGCACTCTGTCTAGGGCAACTACAATACAATTTTTTCAGAAAACAAAAAAACAGCCTCCCCTGCTCCTCAAAAATACAAAAGCTAAAAATATCTTTCAACTCTTGTTCTACTGTTATTACCATTCATCATGCTAGAAAAACCCCAACAGACAATCTCGTAAGAAGAAATACAGCTGAACAGCACCAAGAACATTTTAGTCAAATCACCGAAATATTTCATCATCATTTACTTGAAGAACAACTAATTGTGGATCATCACCCAAAACTACAGTAATAAAAATATTACTTAAAAGATTACCAATCCATGATGTGTCACTGGTCTGAAGCATTTATACAACTTTGGAGCCTAAATTTCATTGACTTAAAACTGACAGTAGTCTCCTCAGTGACAGAAAACCGTATTTTGCTCTTCACAAAATCATTTATTACAGAGAAGTTATTTAATGCACATTGTGCAATGAGTACTTTGCACCTAAGAATAAAGAGGCACATGAAAGTTGGTATCTCCCTGGGATACCAAGAAATCCCAGCGTTCCAGTGCATTCATACAAGTGCCTTATAAATCAATGATTCACACCTACTCATTTCCCAAGGTTCGGTGCCCAGTTCTTTCCTTTCAAGAAAGAAAAAGGTATGTGACAGCAGGGTATCTATTCACAAAACCATGAACTTTTATTACTGCTCGTTGCTAGCTAGGAAAAAACCCCCAACCTCTCCTTTTCCTCTCTTATTTGAGATCAGTCCATGCATTGGCTGGCACATGCTAAGAACTTGTTTTCTTTCCTCACCATGGACAAAGCCATTCTTGCCCAGAATTTGAGGGGCTGCATTAGCTTTCTTTTTCCAGTAAATTCAACACAGGCCAGCAAAACTAAATTTTAACATTGTAACTAGAAAACAACATGAATATATTTTAATTTGAAGTTTTCCTTATCTTTCACATGAATAATTTGAGATTTTAACCATTGAGAAGCTAAAAATTGCTGCATCTGAATGAAAGGAAGCAAAAACCTACTGGACAATGCATAGTTCTGTGTTAAATTGCAGTTATCTACAGAGTGTTGTGTTAGCTGGCAAAGTAGCACCTCTGTCTTCCTATGTCTTGGTAAGTTGTCCAACTCAATAACCACAGGGAACTTGGCTCAAGTCCAACATACCGAAAACCGAACAAGATGATTTGAATGCAGAGTGTTCTGCTTATACAAAAATCTACACCTCCTGGGCAAGATTATGTAAACAAGACAAACGATGCATTAGTATTACATGTTATAGTAAATCAGTTTAGTCACTAACCTTTGGCCAATTCTTTTCTTATTTTCAAAATAGCATCGATTTCACAGTCAGCAGCAGCATATGCATGAGGTATAGTAGTTTTAGACTCTGTTAATCTCTTAGCAATAACTCTTCGGATGTTGCTAGCCGGGATTTCTGTGAACGTGCCCTGAAAGAAATCAAATGCTGTCTATTAAATATCAAGAAAGCAAACATACTACCCCTTTGCTGAAACACGACTCCAGCATTGATGTGTTGTTATTAGGGACTCCTGCTCACTTCAGATATCCCCTAGATATCAGTAAGTGTTACATTCCAACTACTAAAATTAATACAATTAAGTCCACTGAGTGTTCTACCCTATTCCACTTAATTTGGATCAACACAACAGGTTTTATAGAATATAGTTTCACTTTACAGTATAGAAATAATCACACTGTTCTAGCAGACTACTTCAAAGACAGTATGGCCAAATATTCAGACATTAATTCTCAGTCAGAGTATATAAGCACTGTTACATCTGCCAGACTTGGCATATTGCTCGGAATATGCTTTGTTCTCTTTAAATTATTAATAATAGAGTATAAATCCTCAGTAAGCTACTGCTTTTTCAGCTCTCTGAGTGGTCCCTTAAGACAGGCTTTACTGCATCTCTTTTTTCTTGTTATTCTCTCTCCTTCCAAATATATTCAGAAATGTTTCAAGGTAGAAGTTTTCCCAACTCCTTCATAGAAGCAAGTCCAGGAATCTCTTGAAATATCAGTGACCACAGAAAGGAAGAAAATAAGTGATTCTGTAAAACATTACTTTGTATACCTAATCTATAGCACATATACCAAGTAGTACTCAGCACACAAAAAGTTGTTATATGTATGCTCTGTGCAACCATAGGAATATATTTTTTCTGAAATGGAAAAATATCTAAGTTTGAGCTTTTTGTGCTTTGTTTGCCAGTGAAAAAAAGCAGCATTTTTTGAACATTATCAATTAAAGCCACACTGAACTTTAACCTGTAAAGATACTTCAAATTTAGTTCCAGAGCCAGAAGGGTTCTCTCCCATCATATTTCACAATAGCTTTTCAATTTCTACTAGTGTGCATTTCTGGTATTTTTAGCATTTTGAATTAACATATAAACTGTATTTATGTGCTAGACTTCGCAAAATGACTTCTCAGAGCAACTAAGCCCTTCCCTTCCTCACTTCTTGACAACTCATCAATGGACATTTACATATACTCGCATTGCAGGAAAGCAAATGAATGAGATACAGTAAAAATAAGCCAGTTTCTCCAAGTTTCGAAATACACACTACCATACTGATCCTGCCAGGACTGAGGGCAGGAGTGCATAGTCAACTTCCAGTCAATTTCCAAACTAGTGGCATCCTCTCCTTTGGAGACTGAAATAAAACTGCTGCCTCTCTGACTTTCCCCTTTCCAACGCCTGCAATGTAAGTTTTTTTTATGGCTTCAGCTTGCAAGTTACACAAATCAGCGTGCAGACTACAATTTCGAGAGCTCTACAGTTCGAATTACACTGCTTTAGAATCACTCAAACATACTAACAAGTGCATGCCACTGCGCTTGGCATCTGGGTGGCCTTAGTTTCCTTTGTCTCTCCAGTTCTGCAATTCTCCTATAGTTACTCAAGTAGACATGGCGATATTTCGCTGTAGCAATGTTGAGGACTTAACAGAAACATTACCAGTGCAGCAGGTTGTCCTGGTGTGGAAACTGCTGGCCTTGGATAAGCAGAAGTCACTGCTGTTGCTTGTGAAGCAGAAGGTACTGCAGTAGTCTGTGGAGGAGCTGGAGAAACCAGAGGTTTCAGTTCACTGGGTTTGCCCTTCTGCTTCTCTTGCAGAAGTTTGAGAGCATCCCTAGTAATTAAACACAGTGAAATACTGACAACAAAGAAACTGTTTCAAGAATTCCAGAAGTATTACCATCCCATCACTTATTTTAATTAATTAGCCACTTCTGTGCATTCTAAATTCCTGTTGTCAAACCAAACATTAAGATGATTGTTATTAACTTACAGGAATTTTGTATCTCTCTTGTGATGTCTTTTCAGTAAATGCCCATTAACTTCTATGAGTAAAAGGGCTTGAATTAGTAGTAACAAAAAACGTGTTAGAGAAGCATAGTACTCAACTAGTAACTAATTACAAGTGTACAAGGTAATTTGTGAACTGCACTAACATTTCTCCTAAATAAAATATCAGAGTACATTTACTCAGGCTATAAAGTCTCAAATAAAAGCTGTTTCATCTGTTATATTTGAACTAATTTGAATGTAATGTAATTAATCAGTGCTCACAGAAAACTGAGCACTTCATTTGTCATTCATTTCTCTGTACCTTTCTGACATAAATATGCACAAACAGGTGTAGGTAGTATACAAGTCCGTACTTCATAAGCAACTTGAAAGACAGCACCACACTGAAGAACTAAGTCAAAAACCAAGTACCACCCAACCTCATCTACTCTATAAGCATTCTCTCAGTCTTTATTCTGCTACAGCTAATAAGCAACTTGAAAGACAGCACCACACTGAAGAACTAAGCCAAAAACCAAGTACCACTTAACAGTCTAGGTGTCGCTGAACCTCATCTACTCTATAAGCATTCTCTCAGTCTTTATTCTGCTACAGCTACCACCACAAAATTTCCCACTTGCAGAATACGACTGCCATAAGTAAACTCCTATCTTTAATTTATAATACTACATGTACCATAGGTGTATTGGATATATAAAGCAACATGCTAAAGGTTAATAACTACGAGGCTAAACAGAAAAGACTGCATTTCCACCACTACTGCCAACTTCTGTTTTGCAGTTGTAACTGCTCCTATACTAGCGACTTGTTAGAAGAGCTGTATCAGTCACAGATCTCCCCTGTTTACACTCCAGACCTGATAACAAAAGTCTGTATCATATGCCCTGGATAAATCTCTATCACTTCATGAAGACACCACCACAGCATGTACACAAAGGTTTATGTGCACAAAGTTTTATTGCAAAAACTGTCAGGGGAAATTAAAAAATAAAAGTAAAAATCAGACTGCTTACAACCACACCATGGCTTCGAAACATAAGCCATAAATACTAAACAACAAAGCTATCTAATTTCCTTAGATTACTGCCTGAGTGAGAGACTATTCCCGAGTGTCAATAGCTTATGGGTTATTAATTTTTTGAGGAAAGCACAAAATCTCAGAACATTATGTATTCTTAGTTCTTCCTAACAAAGTAGCACTCCAGAACTAGGAACTTAAAACAGAAGCTTTGTATGTTCTATGTAATGCCTTGTACTGATTGCTGACTTGCTTCCATTTTTAGCTTCAATACATACCTCAGCAAATCATACTAAAAACTTAAAAAAAAAAACCAAAACCCTGCACTTACGATATAAATTTGTCATTATTAAAGTTATTTTCCCAAATTAACATGTTGGCCAAAATTTGTTTCAAAAATAAGTTTTTAGTATTTAACATAACTACTGTATTATGGAAAAAATTAGATTTCATTGAATGAAAATCATACCAAGCACTACAATTTGAGACAAAATTGTAGTGCTAATATTGAGCTCATTTTTAGATTAGAGGATTCACTCTGGAGTTTTTTTAACTCATGCAGGACTATGATATATATAGATATACAAAACGTACATATATAAAAATACAAATACACATCAAACTTCTAGGCATCAGACTCACTGCACTATCAATATTATACAAGGAACTCACTCCTCTGTAATTGTAGCCAGTAAATTGCATGCAGCTTAAATCCCACTGTAAGTCTGCACTCAATACATACACATGAAATTACTCTGGAAAACCAGCCCTACATGTGTGCGCTGTGCCTTATCTGAAAGCTGCAAATGCAAATGCCAGAGCAGCTCAGATCCCAAATCACACCAACTTAGTGACAGCTGGTAGGAAGGCACAGATGGGAGGAACATGGCTTAGAAAAACAAATTCTATTGGTAACTATGCTCCACACCGTTTTATGGTTGCACTTAGAAATCTCTAGATCACTAGTAAACAGGATGAAGAAAGGGCAGAAGTGGTCTGAAACAAACAACAGTTTTAATCTCCCAAACAAGTGTCTGAGCTGATGACAAGAAACTCAGTGCAACTTTTGATGGAAGTTGTGAGTTACTTTCTACTGACATCAGTTTTCTAGTGTATTTCTGAAGAAAGCAGAGAATATTGCTTAAAAATATTTTTAAAAGCTGGAAGAAGCAACCTAGTTCAGCCTTGCAGAGATACATATGAGAAATGAAGTATCAGCCTACAAAGGGAGTAGTTTATGACAGAGAAAGCTATCAGTTGAAAGCTGCTATTGCTGCTAAGTTTTACAGTGAATTGAATTTAAATATATAAAGTTGGGGGGCAAGAATCTTGCTTGCTTACATAGATGTCTGTCTTTCTTTGTTTCTTGTAATCTGGTGCGAGCCCCGTTCAGCAAGGAAACTCAAGAGTTTAAAAGTGAAAAGTGAACTTGCAACTCCCTCGAAGAACCAATTGCTAGTCTACTTGGAAAAGATACCATAAGTCACTCAGCTATAAATCATGGCATGTATTTTAACAGTAATTTCAGGTTAGCAATGAAATATTTCCCTGAGTATCTGTAGCAGCTCTCTACAAAAATCTGCAAACATTTCATTTCAAACTGAACATAACAGCAGGGCCTGTAGGCATCTGACAGATTAGCAGCATTTCAAAAGAATGGTTAACCCCCACCCCCCACAATCCACATCTTAAAATGACATTTCAAAGTCAAATCTTTTATATGGAAGAAAGCAGTTCTGACAAAAGAAGATTTTGTTAGATAGTTCTCATAGCTACAGAAAAGTCTTTGCTACATCTCCATGACAACTAGGGAATGTTAATTACTGAGCTCAAAGTCCTAGAGGGTTTCCACCTGCCATAGCCTAGTAGCATACCATAAATTACCATTACACTTACATAATTAAGAAAAAACTCTGATAATTTGCTGTTACACAGCACAGGTATTATAAACTCCTTATTTTATCTTAACTCAGCCAAAGATCACAGGAAAAAGTGTTTTGAAAAAACAGCAGACTTCCACTATCTGTTTCTCTCAATTCCAAGAAACACTGACCTGGTTGTCTTTGAATGGAACTAAAATCACAGCAGCTAACTAGGTCTGTGTAGGTGAATTATGGCATTTGTCAAAAAGAATAATTTTACTGAGAACAAGAATAAGTATTCCTGCCAAAACCCTCATCTCCAGTAACCCACATGCCAATATGAAGACAATGCACCATTTCGAGGCTAAGGGCTCTGGATCTACCACAAGAAGTTTTCATAAACCAGTACGGGATGGGATATAAATATATCTCAGATGGGAGAGTTACAATAAACATGCATGTATATATATGCATATCTCAGATGGGATATAGAAACAAAGGTTTTTTTTAATTGAAGGCATCTTACAGTATTTCCTAAGCTATTCTCCACATCAACAGGTTTTTTTAAATTAAACTAAGCCATTTAGCTAAGAAAAATAGATGGCTATTTACAACAACAGACTTTTGAAGTTCATGGAGACTGCTCTAGATTCAAAGGAAGACATAAGGGAATATGAGGTTGTGGCTTTACTGGAAAATCAACATACTCTTTCGTGAAGATTCCTCGAGGCCCAGAAGGTGCAGTATTGCTTGGATCTAGCCCATGTGTCTCCAGAATGTTGCGAGCTGCAGGACTTAAACGAACCCTAAAGAAATGAGGAAAAAGAAACTATTTCAGCAACAACATTAACTTATTTCATTTAACGTATTTGAAGAGAAACTACACAATTTATGCTCTATTTCAGAAGCAACAGCTGGGGAAGAAAACAGTTCTGTACAAAGGTTGTGGTTCTAACACTGAAGTCAACTGATTCACCAAACTTTAATGCAAGGTTGGATTTAAAAGCACAATAATGACTTTATAGAGATCAAAATAAGTAGTGGAAAACTCATGTCCAAACTTTCATCTTACAGAAGCGATACAATACACTCGTGGATTTTCCTGGAACAGGGTCATCAGGGAAGAACCAAATACCTTTTTTTTAAGACCAGCTTGTTATACTAATATTAAAAAATGAGTTTTAGAAGCTAAGGAAAGAGAGTTGCTCATCTCTGTTATGTGTTTGGCTAGCTGTAATTGCGTCTTTAATGTAGCTTAATTCTAATTATAACATTACTTTTGCCCTAGCTTCAATTTTCTTTTATAGGATTAATTTAATGAAGTGGCTACTTTTTTGGAAAGCAAAAGCCATAGAGATATGGTTGCATAATTCAGTGTCTGCCTTAGAACACTAAATATTAAGCCCTGCCACTCTCAAACATTTTAATCAGCACATATCTAAAATATACTACAATACTAGCAAACATGTACCTGCCATCTTGACCTACATGGGGTATGCTCAACAGTAACATTTCTGCCTGGAAACAAAACCAGTTATCAACTAAAAAGCACAGTACACAGCTACAGAGCATCCAGTGTAACTCAGTATGACTCGCTTTCTGAAGCGAGGAAAAAACCCAACATGTATAGAAAAACATTCAGAATTCTCAGACACAAAAGCAGCAACATTTTCATAGAAGGATAAATACTTGGTTTCAAGTCTTTACACAAAATCTCAAATTCATTATTTCCTAAGAGAGCCTATATTTGCACCACATTGCACCCTTACCAAAAAAAACCAAACACAATTGTCATAAATTATCACTTGATTCCAAAAATGCTCATACATCTGTAACAGTTGCAGTGAAACAGATGCAATTCTGATGTTCTTTGGTATTAAAATCCAACACTTAATCCTTTCAAGGATCCTTTACTTGGATCATCCTCCTACTACAGGCAACTCTGGGCAATGACCTCAATTAGTTCTCCTCCACTTGCACGAGGAGAGCCTAAATCCTGACAGCAAAAGCAAAGATAGTAAATCAGACAGAAAAAACCCCCACCAAAACCCACACAAACCAGAACACAAAAACAAAAAAACCTGTGACAACCAAAACCAAACAGTGGTGAGCACATGCTACCAAAATTAGTTTCTTACTCTTTTCTTTAGTAGGCTATAATTTTACAGCTTTTATGTTATCACAATCCACTACAAATAAAGAATGACACCTCCAAATAAGATACATTCTGCAACACAAACGAGTGATTTATAGAATATTATTACCTGACTAACACATCCCCCTCTAAGATGTCTGAAATGCTTAGAGTATCCTAACAGATCAAATTGAAAAAAAACTAACAAAAAGCACATAAACCCACAGTTTTGAGTTTTTCCACATTCCACTGTTAAGAAAATAAGATTTTTTTTTTCTAATATCAAATGTGCAAGAGCTTTAGAGAGTTTTGCAGTGTGCCATTTGTTTTTTAATTTTTTCTCCTAAAAAGAAACAAAAAACAAGTTATAGGTAAGCTGAGCATCTGATGCATAAGAACTAGAATCTATTGTATTCAAACACAACTTCTTCCTAATCTAAACTTACAATCCTTCATAAAGCAATTGTATGTCAGAATAAAAATACATCCATAGAAGACGTTCTAATAAAACTGTCTTATAAGCAAAGAAATATTCTGGGCAGAATACCTCACACAGGCTTTAATACCTCACATGTACTGAAACCCTCTTGGACTAACAGCTCAGTACTAGGTAAAAAGGGACAAAAGGTTCTTCTTGGTTCAGCCTTACCGTTCTAAATAAAACTGAAATATTAACAACTAAAGAGATGTTCCATTTAGGAATAAACATAGAAACTTACTGCAATTTTCCAGGTTGATGTTCCAGTTTAGGAGGGGCGGAAACTGAAGGAGCTGGAGGAGTTGACGTAGGCACAGTTACTGGAGGAGCCAGAGAAGATGGATCGCTGCCATCAGCTGGTATTTCAACTTGCTTCCAGTCCTGTCCTTCCTCTACCAGCAGACCGATTAGAGAGCCCAAGCGTACATTTTTGCTTCCTTCTCCCACCTAAATTTAAGGCATTGAGAACATTAAGTTACATATTGCGCTGTCTAGACTAGTAAGACTAAAAATGGTAGATGTGAAAATTTCAGACATATTAATGACACTTCGAGAAAATAGATCCCATTTTATTCCTACTATTAATGAGATAACTCATGACTGAGATTAATTGCAGTTGCTATTATAAGGTGAAGAATATTAACTTATGCCCCCAAATTCCACACATCTAGAAGTTAACAATCAGAAATCAAAGTAAACAAGTTGCAGACTTCAGAGTACCTCCAAGAATAAAATCACGTTAGCTACTGAAAACAAATGTGGATGCCTAATCTTTGTGAACAGAGCCTGAAAAGTTTGCTGGACATTGAGCAGATGTACTTTGACATCTCTACCTTGTGTCTAACAGTGTCACTTTTTTAAAATACAAGCTTGTAAACTCAGAAGCTAAGGGAATAAAAAGATACCCAAACCCCAAAACAACAACCGAGCCCTGTTACTTCTTTCTGAAAAATAACATTTGCTTTCCACTAACTTCCGCCTCAGTGTTTGTCTCTTTTAACATAACTGGCGCCAAATAAGTCCATCCACCAAGAAAGTGATAGCACTTACGTAGTACGTAGACCGCTGTTTCAAAGAACATCAGAACAGACGTCTTAGACAAAGATAATCTAATCTAAATATAACCTAAATGGAATGGATAAGGCGAATATAATATAGATGTTCCTTTTAAAAACAAAAAGATATCTGTATCACAGTCTAAGCATACATTTGATGCTTTGGCAGATAAAGGCACGGCAGTCCTGTTAACAAGCTAACGAAGGGCTCCTCCTACAGTCTCGGCAGTGGTTGCAGAAGCACCCCTCTTCCGGTTCTCAAAAGCAGTGACATTTCCAGGGTGTCAGACCAAACGTAAAGATAGCCCTTTAGGACCATGTGTAGTCAAATACAGCTTGGACCGTACCAGGCCAAATAGAGCTGATTTTCTAGCAAAGGAAATGGATATTCTATTTCTACCATAAAGCCATGTTGCACAGACATTTGCCTCAAATGGAGCTGGTACATCTCACAGACTCACTCAGAACGGTTAGAGTTGGAAGGGACCTTAAAGATCATCTAGTCCAACCCCCCTGCCACAGGCAGGGACACCTGCAATGCTGGCACTTTACACAGGAAGACGCAAATCACTATCATTTGAAAAGCCCAAAGATAGGCACACAAAATAAAAGTATGCACAGTACCAGGTATCACACTGTTCTTACTACCATAATTGGCTTTTCTTGGCATTAAACACTAATAAACAAAACAGAACACTGTAAAAAGATTGTGCCAGGGAGATGCAAATACTGGAACGTTATTACTCAGAAAAAGATTGTTGTCTGCTCACTGTTAACTCCACTGACAGAACATAGCAGATTTCACAGGATTGCTCAGCTCCCTTGCTAGAAGGGCCAACACTCGACACTAGGAAAGGCAATTTGTTCTCAATATGTTCCTGATAAAACATCTCACTTTTACAGTTTTGTCAGTTCACTTTTCTCCCCTCGTGAACACTATATAAATTATAGTGTAATTGTAGGGTACTTTTAGAGTATTTATTACATGAAAAAACCATTTAAGACTGGTTCAATATTTCTTGGTCTGATCTCTTGATATGTTGTTCTTAGTTAATACTCTGAAAAGCTTAATTTGAGGGAAGAAAGTCTGAAGAGTCTATCAAGGCTTGATCATATTTTATTTTTATTGAGATGACTTTAAGTACTTGGGGATGACAGAATGCCTACCAAAAGTCCTGAACTTATTTGTCTAAGGCTGAAAGATCTTACCACAGAAAGGCCCACTGACAAACAGATTTGTAAAGCTACATATAATTGCAGTGTTACTACCACTCAATCAAGCAAAACACCAGCTTGAAGCTAGTACAAACATAACCTACCTAACCTAGTCACTGAAACAAAAGAAAACAAAGCCATAAACATAGAAAATACCAAAGTAATTCACTCTAATAATTTTACATTATAATACTTAGCACTGAACAAGGTATTTAGAAAAACCATGCTCAGAAAAACCTATCAGTCTAATACTCAGATGTCTGATCCATACCAACAAGGATGCAAAATTGCTATGTCCCCCAAGTTCAAAATACTCTGCATAATATATTGATATGCAGCAGCTAACATTCATTTCCAAAATAAGAAAAAACCAATTGCTTTTGCCTTGTCTTCTCTTTCCTTTACAAAGGCTTACACAGGCAACAGAAAACACATTTTTATAAGCAGTCAACATATTGTAACCGAGTTGTTTAAGAAGCAGTGGTGTCAAGTCCTTACAATTTTGGTGTCAGAGTGCTTTAATGGTGCTATGGTAACACATGCAGAAATCCAACAGGGATAGTTGAGCTTTTAGGAATGTAACACAACACTTAGACTAGTTAGGCTTTTTCTATAAGCCAGCATTATATGAGCATTCAAAGCCATCAATGCTGTCAAATATCACTCTTCAGAGCAAGCCAATTATGTTTTTTCTCAAGTTCACCACGCCAAGACACTTGTGAAAACACCAGCATTCCTTATTTTTCAACATAAGTTTCCATCCCAGATGAATGCAAAGTTCATTTTTAAAAAGTGTACACACGTATTTTTTAAAAAAACGTATTTTAAAGACACAGCCTTTGCAGCTCAGAACTACAACAGACAAAGAAGAATTATTACTTTACTTAACTTTTCATATCCTGGATCTTTGAGTCACTTCTACATTTTCATAAGAAAATGGCTCTTCACAAATCTCAATGAACCCCAGAATCTCAGCTACAGAAAGACCTGAAATAAGTATCTTCACAATACTTCTACAACTGTGTGCACACAGCCAAGAAGAGTAAAAAAGATCCTAACTTTGCTGACAAATCAACAAAGCACAGGTGAGCCGTGACAGAGGAAAAAAGCTGGAGATCAAGTGCACAGAGGAATGAAATTCCCTCGGAGTCATTGCCACTGCTGCACAGTGCTCTGGTCACTAACACAAATACACCAAACGAAAGGAAATATTTATTTCCTACACTGAGAAGAAATACGGACGGCACATAGGCTGGCTCACTCTGCAGCAGAAGTTTTATACAAAGTAGTTTTAGTTCATACCAATTCTCATTTAGGTCATGAATGAGAAAACAGTAATGGATATTAAATCCAGTTCCTAATCATTCATCTATTTTTGATCTAAGTTGAACTGAATTTATAATACATATTTAAGGCAAAAAAAGTAAGTGTTAATTTACGAAGTAACTCTACTGAAAGAATAACCACCATTCTGAAATTATCCTTCTCATACTTTCCTTCAGTCATTTAATCTTTTACCACATATGGCACTGAATCTGATGTGATCATTAAAAGACCCATTCGGACAAAAGAGAAATATATGCACGAGTATCTATTTGTTAGCCTTCTCTTTCTTAAACCACACACACACACATTATACAGTCAAGACAAAACCCAGAAGGGTTACAGAAGTTGAATTAATTTAATCTAATGAACCTTCTGTCTTTAAAGGCAAAAACCAAGGTGTTATGCAGACAGTATGTTTATTTGACTCAGTTTTCCATACTGAATTCAGTCAAGACGGTGTTGAATTGGAGCTGGCAGCAAAGAACACAAAATTGTTGCCTCCTTTCTTTTAGTAAGTGCGCAAACTTCAGCCAGATGCTGATAACTCAAATGCACCAAACATTCCGACGTCTCCCATTAACTCTGTCACATCTGAAACCTTGGACCAGCCTGTAGAAGGGTATTTTCTTCAATAAGGAATCACCTCCCTGTCCACAAACCTGAGAAAGCATAATGTCACAAACCTTACATAAATGTCTACTGGGCACCCAATATAGCGCAGAAATACCCACAGGATGCTGTAGAAAGGCTACTAAGGATCATACTTACGCTAAGAAAAAAACAAAACAAACCCAAACAGAAACACACACACAAAAAAGAAACCACCACCACCACAAACCCCCCAAAACCACAGAAAGTTTCGGCTCTTATTGCTCCTCTGTTATTTCAGTTTCCAAAACATCAGGCTTCTTACGTACTTTTTAGGAGACTGGAATAATTTATTTGGATATCTACTCTAGTACTTAAGCCCACCATTTCTAGATTCCTAAAAGGAGGATTAAAAGAATCTATTAAAGATTGGGATTGCATAAAAAACTGTTCATGCTACTCCAGTAAAGCTGCCTCTCCTTCCTTAATCTGAAAGACATTATAGATATTTTCCATCCCCTGGCATCTCCTTCTCAGACTCAGCTCTTGGCGTATGATTGTTATTGAATGCTCTTGGCTAAGGGTGAGTGTCACTGCTCCATGATACTCATATCATGTAGTTGCCACAGTCTCTGGTTTTGATCTATCAAAAACCATGCCACAACAGCAATACACAGAAGTAAATTTTGTAACTTGGAATGTATTTGGAATACAAAACAGGAAAAACACAGCTTCTGGAATACTAGTGCTACCTGTAGTCACAATAAATTAAAGAAACTATTAAAGAAACTTGAAAAATCAATATTGGAGTCTGCTATTCTTTCTTTATGTCTCTCTGGGAATCATTCTTTAATACTTTTGACAGAGACAAACCCCGTATCTCCTTTTCACAATCTAACAAAGCAGTATCTAAATGCGGAATAGGCACTTCATATTAAAAAAATGAAGAGGTTGCACAAGATTTTGTCAATGCAAAACAATTTTCAGAAACATTCAAAATTGAAGAAGAGAGAATTAAAAATAGTGAAAGCATGACTCACCCAGCAGTTATTAAAACAACTATATGAAGACTAAAAACACATTTAAAAATACGTTTGATGGGAGATTTTTGCCCTGGGATAGCAGAATAGATTCTCTGAAACTTACTAGATGTGTTGTTCCACAATTGAACAAAAACCTCCAAAGTTCCAGGGTGCTACAAAAACCAAATTAACATCTGGGGAAAACTTACTATTTAGCAATGTCAGTTAAAAGAAGAAAAATATTTAGAAGTCAATATCCACCCTTTTTAGAACTACAGATACAGCACAAAGTTGGAAATTGTGGAAAATTTTAGAAAAAGTGGTGAACATAGAAAAGAAGGAAAAGTCCTTTCTCTGTCTTTATGGAGAACTAATAACAACTTTCATCCCCCTCCCTAAAGATAAAAAACTTTAAAATATTAATTTCCAATTATAAGTATTTAATGGACATGAAAAATGTAATTTCCTTTAATTTTTAAGCATCTAATATCAGTTTTCAGAAACTGTAATATTTACTTCTACACAGAGGCAGCAACAGACGACCTCAGAATTACAGCCTCACTCTTCTAAGTTCTGATGAGAATTAACATCAGGTCATTATGAAATAAGATACATTTTTTCAAAAGAGTTAGAAAAGAGGGGGAGGAGAAAGGAAAACATACAGAATTTTACTTGTTTTTTTAGAATACAGTACGTAAAGAATAGCACAGGACTTGCAAGCACCCCTTAAGCAATGCAGAACTAAATCCTTAATCTTGATCTCCGTCGTCCAGTTGTTACTGCTTCCAGCTTGGTACAGAACTGGATTTAAAGCCAGGCATCAATAAGGAATTCAAACAAACTGAGCATTATTTCTGTTATATATGCACATATGCACAAATACTCCAAGATTATTTTCAGAGAACTTTACATTTAACCTAGTTCTCATTCTTCATATTAAGCCTAATCAATCTAATTTTAAGATTACAGGAATCCTGGGTAAAGTACCATCCAAAATTCCATATTCCAACTAACACTGTAACTTTCTTTTCTATAACTCAGGGAAAGACGTGTCATAAAATGCAGTATTTCAAGTATGTAATTCATAAGGTGCAAAACAAAGCATAATTCAATCAGCTTAACTGAAAATCCATTAAACATACATAGAATCACGTACCAGTAGTCTGGTTCATGTATAAAATAGAGCAATTATTTCTCACTAGGAATGCAAGTAAGTGCAGTATTCAGAAAGGCAAGCAGAAAGAAAGGTAGCTACCTAAACGACTTTTTGAGGCAATATTCTAAACAACAGTCTAAAGAGAAGTTATATGATCCTACTTAGAAAGGCAGGCTCCCTACCAGTATTTTAGCCAATATGCCATCATCACTTGATTCCATGGTAATCACTGCTTTGTCTGTTTCAATTTCACACAATGCATCTCCAGCATTTACTGTTTCACCTGCAAAATATAACAGAACTTAAGAATACTTAGCCTAAATTTCCTTTCAGATCTATTTAACTATGGAAAATAGGAATTTATCCATATAATACAGCCATTTTACATTCCTGAATACATATGCCATAGCTAGTTGGCCCCCCATCATTATGCATCATATTTTATCTTTCATTTTCAATTAAAAGCACTCAGATTCAAAGACAAATTGCTGCAGCAGAACACTAACATATTACAAATACTGATGTTTACAGTAGGTTTTCCAAGAGGAAGTACACACACAATGAAATTTATTTCTACACCACCATCACTTGGTAACAACTGCCATGAATAACCTCGTGATCCTTCAATAGTCATTGCGAGCCGTAAGTCCAAACAAGACATTTAAAACAGTTTTAGGACAACGGTCACAGGCAACAACATCTCTAAGTATCACAGTTCTCTTGTTTGTATCTGCACTATTAAATATATTCAAGTAAATACCTCAGGAACCTTAATCTCTTTGGAAACCATGTTTGCAAGCTCGTTTCCTCAATTTTCTATATAGTCAAAAAATGTCTTTCGGAAACACACTTTGTGAAATAAAAACATGCACAAGTGTTCGAAATTGCTTTCACCATATTACACAAACCTATGATTTATTTTGAAGCATACTCTTCCTCTGCTTTTGAAGAATATCTGTATCTGCTTACATTAAAATTGAAATGACATTGAAAAATTTGAGGTAGTGGAATGTTGTGGTCTCCAACAAAACACAGTAGCCTTTTTCTTACAGAGCACTGAAAAATAGGGACAATATGTACAAGCCTAACACATGACTACAGTTTTTATATTAAGTAAAATTTTAGTATTTCCCCAGTACCAGAAGTGCAGCAACAGTATTACCTGTCTAAGCATTTCATTTAATTCCTGATATCACTCTATTGTACTTGAGCATCAGAATAAACCTAGTGCAGGTTACTACTTCTATTTAGGTAAGGGATAAACACTTTTTAAAAAGATAATTATTTCCTGTTTCAGGACTACTTGAATTAGAAGGGAAAAAAATCAAGCGTTGTATGATCTCCACAGTGGTAAACAATGGAAACATTCAAAGCTCAGTCACTTACTTAGCTTTATAAGTCATAAATGTTCCTATTATGGACCGTGGCAGGGGAGTACACAAAGTAGCACCTGATCTTTTTAATTTAATAATATCATTGCCACACTGCACTTTGCAGTAACTAGAGCATAAACAGATTTTAACAGGAAGTGTAAATTCTAGGCTCCATACTAGTGTTTTAATTCCGCTGGCTCACTGATTCAATTAGCACACTTATCAGACCATCAGGCAAGTACTAAATAGATGTTAAATAAAATTGTTGGGCAAATTCTGTAACCTACAGAGCTAAGACAGACAAGCAGAAAGGAGCTTAATTCACTAAGAAGTGGTCATAAATTTGGTAGACAATGGATTCAATGCAATTTTAAGAATAATATTTCTTAGCAGCATTCAAGCAAATCTCACGCGTTTCAGTATCAATGCGCAATAGAAAAGATCATAGCTATTTTCATTAGATTGCAAAAATTGTGAAAGCTCTTAATCAATGCCCTTCTTTGATGTCAATTATAAATCAGCTTTCCTAATGGGTAGGATTGGAAAAGCATACTTTTGCAGAGCATAGCTTTGCTCTTACACTTTCTAATGAGAGAGTGGTATTAGTAATAGAAGCTGCCTGAATAGCAGCTCTGAGATTTCATATAGTGCCCTTCAAAAACCTCAGGTGGGGTTTGTCTGAGGTTTTTTAAGCTATTAGGTTCTTATAGCAAGGCCAAATGATTAGGATCTCTACTGAAGCCAAGTTTCCCTCTAGGGGATCCCATCCAATTGGCATTCAATAGTCTATGTGCTCTGTTCAATTACTGACAGAGAAGTATCCAAATCAAGCTACAAACAGCATTCCTTGAGGTACTCTATGCAAATTAAATCAAAGTTCACTAATCATAGAGACTGAAGTCCCTGGAAGCCATGTCTCGGGAGGCAACACAGTTACATAGCACAAGGAAACTGCTAGCACTGTTGCCTATTCTGTTTCCAGCTCATAATAACATGAGGATTTTTGTCTCCTGGGCTGCCAATCTATCATTTTTCATCAACATTAGATTCATACATAGTAAATACAAGTTTTTAGAAACACTGCTTTATTATGAGAACAACTTTTTTGTACACACAAGAATCAATATGAAACTGCATTAACAATGAGAAGGAAATAGTAAAGCTGTCAACTAGATTCATGTTAACAGTGTACTGAACCTCTGCAGTGCTGAAATCATCTGTCCATCCTCTGAGACCATAAAATGAAAAAACCTGATGTTAACACAGAGCAGAGAAAGGATCAAAATAGTACTCTACTGACCCCTGCTGGTTATACAGGGGGAAACATTTCATATGCAATCAGCTTTCTTCTGTCAACTGCTTTAAAATAGTTATTTGCTTGGATATGAGATTATCAAAGATTGATATTCAATAATGCCACTACATCTAGATGGCCAGCTCACTGGAGGATTCTGTGGTTATGAGCATCCTTTGCAGACAGAAGGAGTATAAGCATTAAATCACTTTGCTTTTTTCTTCTAAAGTTTTCTTCACTTCTTTTAATGTAGTCACTATGTATATTTTCTAGAAGGAAAAAAATATCAGGAACTAATTATGGTCACAGATATGCCAAGTAAGACAATATGCTATATTTTAATTTTGCTCTTCTTTTTTAAGCCAAAGTCAAAGGCTCTCAGAATTCCAGTGTTACTGATCAGCATGACGATACTGGGAATTAAAACCAGCACACCCTGGAACAGCCCAATGGAATTTTTTCAAAAATACATGCAATGCAACTTTTTGGAAGACAACTACAGGAAAAATATTTCAAGAACTAATAATTTCAAAGTGGGTATAGCTCAAGAAGGCGGTGTCCACATATCAAGCATTCTGCTTCAAAATACTAAGGTACAACAAGAATTATCTTATTCTTACGGAATAGATTTATATAGTGGAATAATTACAACAATTTGGGCCACAGAAAATGCTATCTTACCTTCCTTTTTTAACCATTTCACAATGTTTCCTTCTTCCATTGTAGGAGAAAGTGCAGGCATGAGAACTTTAATACCAGGTATACCTGTAAAACAAGCACACAATTATCTAGACTAAATATTTTTTCTCAGTTAACTGTTGAAGACAAGGGAAACAAAAAGTGAATTAATCTGAAAGACAGTTGAACAGAAGATTCACCATGATGCTCTTTTTTTAAGCTTACATACAAGCATGTGCTCCCCAAAGCACCAACAAGGCAGTAAGTAGAGAACCTATGTGACACAGAGAACAAGGGTTAACTTGAATATAAAGTCATAATTAATACAAAGTATTAAGTAAATTAGACTCTGTCTTAAGTAAAAATATGATATAAAAACTTTGGATGTGATGAAGACAACTGCTTCAGCTTTGATTCGATTAATTTTTACTGGAAACACTCTCCACGACCAAGTCTTAGTGCATTATTAAAAATACACAAGCTAGTATTTCAAATACCCCTCTGTTCAGCCTGACCTACTGAACAATCCCACTGTGGACACAAGTGAAGCAGCATTATAACTTCTGTCCAATAGAAATGTAAACAGAAAAATATCTACAATTTGCTAGAGCTCCAACTACACACAAGCTATCGTGTGCAGAATGAACAAGCAGCTATAAAATACAAACATACACTCGAAAGAATCAGTAGGTAGCACGAAGCTATGATTTTATTTTTTTCTATTCCCCCCTCACCTCTAAAACATCATAAATTTCAAAGCTGAACCAGCTAATATCCCCTGCCTCTCGTATGTCAGGGGCGTATGTACTAAACCAAACCACATTTCCATTCTGTGGGGCTTTCCGCACATGGTCCTGCATATGCTTAGTTCTGACCCTGTCAGCCTATCTCCAAGCCAAACCTTGCTTAAAATGCTGTGCCACAGCCTCTCATTTACTCCAGGACACAAGTGAATGTGGTAAGTCTCAAAGACTTGTCCTCCCATTTCCTGCTTGTCTGGCAGGACAGGGAGTCTTAACGTAAGACTTGTCAGATATAACCAAGCCCAGCGGGGAGAACATATGCACAGACACATGCATGCACGCATATCCTAGTCCTCAAGGGAGGCCAAAACTCCTGCAATCATGAGAAACTGAGTGAGAGGTATTCATATGTTCCCTGCTGATGAACCATGATGTGCTACAGAGGACAGTGTAATGCCACCCACAAATCCTCAGTAGCATTTACCAGAGTTTTTCTTCCTAGTCATGCAGTATGTCAGCAGTATGACCAGAGTAGCAGGCAGGCAGGCACCGTGTCTTCTATCTCAGAGTACTTATCCATCCTCAGGCTTCTGGACATGGACATGCAAGCGTGAGGACAGAGGGGGCTGTAAATGCACAGCCAGCTAGAATCCTTTCAAACTCTTCACCAAAGGCTAGACACTTACATTTAGCTATGACCTCTGTCTTAATGCTGAACCACACGATTAAGAGCACACCAAGGCATAGCATGTAAACCCATACCACCAAAGTTCAAGCATTAAAAAAAGAAATTGGAATTCAGAGTCTTGAATTCTTAGACCAGAAGTTTCGCTGGTCTTATCAAAATCCACCACAAACACTACATCCTCTTTTCTCCTCCTCTTTGCTACAGGCTGTGGATTTTTTTCCAGAAGAGCGATTAAAGCATATCTTTTAAGTTAATAAAGCCTCCCTGATCCTAGTATTCCAGACACTGATGATCTACCTCTTTCACTGATAAACTCTTCCAATGTTTATTTATCCTTTCTGCTAGAAAACTGTACCTACTTGGCAGACTTAAATTGCCTAATTTCAAGTTTCAGTGATTGGATCTTATGTCTCTGTTAAAAGCTTGAAAGCATTCTCATTACAGAGATCCTTCTCATGGATGTCTATACACAGAGACTAGGTAAAATCTTAGTCTTCTTTCCTTTGCAAGCCAAATAGTAAGATCCTGAAAAGTTCAAAGTATTTAAGCAACATAACACCACAACCTCTTCTGAGGACAAGGCTCATGACACAGCACATTCCTTGGCTTCGTAGCACACCACATTTTTTGTCATTTGACTCAATATACCAAACTGGTATTCTGACATACAGCTTCCAATATAAGAGATACTATGTTTCTGATAGTTATGATGTCAAATAAATGCAACTTTGTAGACACTGTTTTGTAAGAGTAGGCTTCCAGAAGCTGACTGATTTTTGAGGCTTTCTTGAACTACCATATCTGAATCTATTCAGTTAGAGAACAGAAACAGTCATGTAGAAAGTACGTTATATGCAACAGCAAGAATCAATTCTGCTTTGTATTCCCTTTTCTCTAATACCCAGCATTAAGTCTTGTTATCCTTCAATAGTAAACCACACTACATTTTTAACTGTTGGGAAAAACCTGAAATTGTTTTGAGCTGCAAAGCACACGTCATGCAGAGTGAAAACGCTTCTTATCCTTCAAGTCCTAAGAGTCACTGTGGTTAAGATCTCAGAGAAGACAAAGACAAAATCAAAACTTCAATTAATATGCAATGGTTTAAGGGAATTAAAAATGTCTATCAATGTCCTGTAATTCATTAACATTAATATATGCAATAGATGTGACCTGGTCTCTCTCGCTTCTACATGATTATTAAAGAATAAATCATTACACATGTAAAAGAATGCAGGTAATCAACCATAAATACTTCAGAGGTTAGGTAGAGTTAAAGATATTACATGGTTTTTTTTCCCATTATTTCCATTTCCATTATTTCAATTATTATTTAAGTCCTAGAAATTGATCTATTCTTTCCATGGCACTTAAATGCTGGTAAGATTAATATTACTCATACTGTAATGCTTAGAAATCTATCCAGACAAATTCATGTTAACACTGGCAATTTCCATCTGAACCACCTTCAACAATTTTCTTTAAAGAGTTTCTTCTTGCAACCTCTGATCTTGGACCAACACACAGAAGAATTAACTATGTCAAGAATGTTTGTTATTCTGCAAACACCTGTGTTCATTTACCAAATAATGGTTTGTCTATGATCATTGTTCAAAGACTACAAATTAAAGCATGAGTTCACAGTTTTCTTTACACTTATATATGTTCACTCAAAAAATATTTACAGATAACAGCAAGTAGAAAATAACACATTACAAGATGCAAAGAAGCGTTCTCTGTTTCACTTGTCTAACTTGAGAAGTCAACTTTGACAATTAAAACATGATTTTGAAGTCACACCCCACAAATAAGTACGACTACATAGAACTAGGGGACATACTTCACTGAAGTGAAAGCGTCCCATAACTCTGAGGAAAATTAATTTTTAAACATGGTGGTTCACATGTTTCACTTCAGTAAAGAGTCACTTGACCCATTTCCCAGAATATGCTTGGGCATAAATAAAATAATTGAGCAACAAATTTGTGCCACTGTAACATTTTCCCTTTCATGTTATGGACTACCACAAAACACACAGTTAATTCTGGTCCTTTGACCCAGTTACCAGAGAAGATCCAGCAGCAAGTACTTATGAAGTGCGTAATAAACAAACAAACACGATACAAAGCAGAAGGAAGAATCCAAAAATCAAGGCATACGTCAAATCTGAAAACAAGGGACTGTCATTTTCTACACTACTATGCCACACTGCAAGAATGGTAACTGCAAGTGTGGAACAGCACCCAAACTGACCTTAGAAAGTGTATGACTGCTTTAAACAGCCCGTACAGTAGGCTAACAGTCTTCTCCGGCTCCTAGCGACCTATTACTAACAGTCACACTATAACAAAACCACACCACACAAAATAAACTCACTTATCCCTAGATAAAAACTTTGTAAAACCTCTTTTTAAGTGGGAGATGAGACAAGTACAACAGTAACTGAAAAAAAGAAATTATTTCCTCCATCCTTCCCCAGTTTTCCACCAGATAAACAGAATATTTGACTTGTAAGGCCCAGGCAACTAATAAAGGCTTGTTATTATTACAGAAGAAGTTGTCTGCTACCTAAGACCATATCATACAGCTTAAAGGAAAATTATTTTTTTAAAAAAACCTACAGTGTTCTGCTACTCCTAATTGGGAAGACATGGGGAACTGAGAGCTGCCTAGCAGCCTCAGCAGGCACGAGAATATAACCATATCCCATTAAAAAGGCTCATCTCCGTATCACTGATGTAAATCTGAGTGCTAGCGGAACAGCTCACACTGCATCACAAAGCAAAGCAAAACAAAAGTAAAGAATGTCCATCTTTCTACTTCTAGTCCTGTGCTTTATGCTGTAAATAGAGTACTGTAAATCAAACAGCCTCTACCCTTTCTCAACCTATGGAAGCACTCCAGTGTAATTCTATCACGAATCTGCAGGTATATTTAGTTTGAAAACTAGCCCTATGGTCCACTTTCTCTGAAGATGCTAAACACAAGACCTTGCAAGTTGTGGGTAACAAAGTTTATGACCACCTAGAAGGCTGCTAACATTTAATTTCAAAGCATAATTACATATAAATATTGTATTATTCTGAGTGGTGATTTGATTCAGGAAAATATATATCTGGCTGTAAAATTCTGTGAATTGTCCCTACAGACTTAAAACATATTGCAAGACAGCTGCTGATGTCACAGATTTTTTTTCCTTCAAACTGCTCACTGAAACTTCAACTCAGTGCTTAAATTACAAAATAATTTAAATACAGAAACGTGCTGTTTTTCAAATGGTTTCAAACAAGAAAGAACTTAACACATACATCATACGTCTTAATTTAAAAAGAAAATACCAGTTTAATTATAGTTGTTAAGTGTTAGAATTTGAAGTTCTGCTGTATTATCCCACATGGAGAAATATAAATTTTCCATCTATTTTATTGTTTGGAGTCCTATGATGTATCTGTTAATCAACATTCAGCCACTGGATTTTGCAGAAAGTGACCCTGATCACAAACCCAAATACAATTTCAGTCAGGTTAGCTTTTTGATCTGGCTCATCATACAGCAGCATGAACAAGATCAATACCAAAATGCACAGTCAGAACTAGGATAGAATTTGAGTTAAAGCAACTGGGAAACTGCAATCCAAGCACACACGCAAAGCAAAGAAAAAACAAAACTGAGGCGCACTTCAGCTCCATTTTCGCCACTCCTTTCTCGTTCTCCAAGCTCACCAACCTATCCATTCCTTATGCATTCATTTAATGCTCATGCACAGAGATGCCTACATTCAGAGAAGTTTAGTAGTGTTACAACCCAGCCTTGTTCAGCAACAGATGCACAAGAACACTAGCTACAACAATGGTCTCCTTTCAAAGCTATTTTAGTAATTTTTCAATTAATGACCATACACATCCAGAAAACAGGCTTAAATGTCTCTAAAAAAATTTAATAATATTAAAATGAACAATTCCCTTCACCAAATAATATTTTCCCTTGTTAAATAACAGCAAAAGCCAACAAAGTTATTGAATTCACATCAGTTTGCTGCACTGTACAGGCAGTCCTTACAAGCACTCCGGGAAGTAAATAGTCTTGCTTTTTCATTATGGATAAGCAAAAAGTTCTGGCAATTCACACAGAATCTCAAAGACAGAGCTCATAGGCATAAAAGAATTTAAAGCCATGAGCATTTGAAGCTTCTGAACTCCCAGTCACCATCCATTCATCTTACTGCTATGAACAGTAACTGTGCTATTACTTATCAATTATCTAAATAAAAAAGGAGGAGGAGTTAAAAATACTTCACAAAAACAGTAGCTGCTATTTTAAAGAAAACCCTCTGTGCATCCAAAAGAATTTCCTCTTGGTGACATTTTAAGAACCAAGCAGAGTCTGGGTGCATTTCTGCCACCTTCTTTCTCCATGAAGAGACTCAGTGCATATTTAGGCTGTGTATCCAAACAGACTGAAGAGGGGGGCTTTAAGAGAAGACCAGATCAGTAGACCTCTATAACATCCTATTAACTACAATCTGAGAATCCCACTGACGGTGAATTTTGTACTTAAACTGCTCCTGCATAACACAGGTTCATTGTCTCTTTCTGACCTCCTTTAATATGGAAGCAGCTACAGCACTGACAGACAACAAAACTGCAATGAACTGAAAACAAATGCTTTAATGTGCTCCACTGGAGACCTATTTCATAACTTCCTAAGTCACAATCAGTAGTCAGTAGAGAACTGAAAGACTTACTCCATCCTGACATCAATTATAAGATTAAGAGACACTAAAAACAAAGAAAAATTGTTAGACTTCTAATATGAAGGGTCATTCTATTTTTCTCCCTTCCTTGTAAACAAACTAGGAATTCAGTTCCGAATTCATCGTTTTGACTAGGCAAAATGACGTCCTCACTCCTCTACCACCATGATAGAGAGGGACAGTAATACAGAGAAGCAAAAAACACAAATCACACAACAAAACTAGATCCACATGATCTAATGGTGGCATTTTCAGAAACAGGAAAGTGGAGAAATAGAACTAATGACAAAATAAAACTGACTTAACTTTAACTTCTCAAACTAGGAACCAAGAGTGTGTTTGATGTCCAAAAGAGCTGTATTTTATCAGAGAGGTTACCACTTTTCTCTGCGTTTTCCATTTTAGAGGCTACAATAAATATTTAAGAAAAGTGGTGTCACTGAGATATGCACCACCTTGAAAAGCAGTAGGGAATACTAAGAGGGTTCAAAGAAACAAGTCAATGAGGAAAGCCTGAACAAGTTAAAGGTGTGATATATACACCTTAATACATAAGAAGCTTACTGTAAGGAAGAAAAAAGAACTCATTTCCGTACCCAAAATTAGTAATTTAACTCGAGCTATATATTAAATAAGCATTTTGCAACATAAAGATATGAAGTACTATAATGGATTGCCTGGGAGGACTGTAGACAAGAGGTCTTTAAGGAGTTAAATAATAAGAGTAACGTAGAGGCAGCTAATGCCACATTGGACAACATGTCCACATTGGACATATGATATATATACACACGTATATACACATGTATATATGTGTGTGTGTGTGAATATATATATTTTTTTAAAACAAAGAATGAAAAATTGTTTCTAATTACATTTGGAAATAAATACAGTTCGTTTCAAGAACAGGGACAGCCTTCCCTGTAACATACACAGCAGGTGTTGCAAAGGAAAAGATCTCCATACTGCAGAGTAAAGAATCAGTGCTAGAAAGAAGAGTATACCGAGAACTAAACCACAACGATTAACAGGTCTCTAAACTGCGACCAAGTTTTACTGTAATATGTACGCAGTTTTATTACACAGGGTTAGCAAGAGCTCACTTCTTTATAAGCACACTTAAAAACTAAAGACTACACGTATTTTATGCCCAGTGTCACACCAGTACCCAATAACAATGCCACAGATTATTGTTGAAGTGTCTTACAAGTTGTAACTAAGATCAAGTAGGGGAAGAAAAGATAACATTTCATTTGGGCATCTAAAACTCTACCTGCATCGCTTAGAGAAAGAAAAATACCGAAATTAGGTGGAAGGTCTGCCTAGTAATTCTGTAACAAACTCCTGAGAAGAGAAAAAGTATCTGGAAAGGCTGTTGTTATAAGTTCATAGACTGACTTCTATGTAGAAGTGTATGCTAGACATGCAATTAATAAATTCAAACTCCTTCTTAAATTTAAAAAAGGAATTACATAAAATATAGCTTCCATGCTTTTCTCCACCTACTTGAAACATTACTTGTAGAATAAAAACATGACAGAAGAATGGTGGAATCTCCAAACTCTGGAAAAAACCAAACAACCCCCCCCCCCAAAAAAAACAAAGCAAAAAACCTTCTTTCAGTATTTTACTATACCTACACCAAGAAAACACTCAACTATTTTCAACTGTAAGCAATTTTTTTCTTACCCACAACAGAATATTTACATATTTGAAGGCCTAATCTCTCATCATTCTGCTTTTCTTTCTAGATTCCAATTCCTTATTTTTTTTCTAAGCAATTACACTTTCTAGGCCTTTAATAATCCTCACGCCTTTCTCCAAATACTCTCCCATCAGCCCACACCGTTCCTGATGTACCTCCAGAGATAAAACCGAGCAGCACCTTGCCAAACCAACCCATCCCCATAGCCTCTGACCCACGTCTCAGTCGGTCACTGCTGCTCTGTCTCTCCGGCTCAGTAGACGAACTGTCCTGCTCGGCCTTGCCCATCCACGCACCCACCCGGTACCACCAGGCACTCGCATCTCCCACCAACCTCCACTTCTCCAGCACCACCCACCCTCATCCCTTACTTAATAGCATAGCTCCCACACACATTTCTGCAGCAGGCCAACGGCACGGGCACCCGACTACCAACGAAGGGTGCAGAATCCGGCCATCACTCACCCAGCAGCTCTCGGGTATTGTGCAGACGCCTCCAGGCTCCTCGGACGGGGGGACACACGCCAGCGCTCAGCACCGGCCATGCCCCCAGCAGCAGCCTCGCCGACCCCTTGCCGCCGCAGCTCCGCCATATGGAAGCTGCCATCTTGCTGCTTCTCGCTTCCCCGCCCTCCCCAGCGCCGGGGCTGGCGCTCTCACTGCCTGAGCAGAAAAAGAGCGGCACGCCCCCCAACCAGTGGCCAAGCCGACTGAGCGCGGAGGAGCGGCTTCACCGACGCCCCC